GGTCCCGTTTTTGACATCTTTCGTATCGGCGACCGTAAGTTTCAACGACGACCACACACTTGAACGTGACGATACCCCCCTTCCTAATAAATTGACGCACTGGCAAAGAACATTGCACTGGAACGGCCACCTCTACGTTACCCATACCGCCCTGTGTCACCCACAATGCGAGACCACCTGGCCGCCTTTGCGCCGAGTCATGGATAGACAATAGACGACGACACCGACTTTCTTAACGAGACGGTAGCAACAAGACGCCATCTTATACCAGACCGACGGCAAGAACTACAACAGCGGCCATGCCGAGGGGCTTTATGCTCTATGTGTCGGCCGCCGCCGTGGGCCTGCTCGGATTCGGGCGGCCAGTTCCGGCTGAGGCGACCGACGCATCACCGACGGCGGCGATGTCGACACCCATTCCCGATGCTGCTGCTGTTGCGGAAGCGGCGGCGATTGCTTCGTCTGTAAACTCCCCTTCCTCCGAATCGACGGTCTCGATATCGTCCTCCACGTCCTCCACGTCCTCCACCGCCACCACCGTATCCGTCACCATGTCGCAGCCTTCCTCCGCTTCCTCCCACGCGACATCCTCCTCCCATATCTCGTCCTCCTCGTCGGTAGCAGGCTCATTCGACACCGAGACGTGCCAATCAAAGACAATAAACTACATCACACATACACTTCCGCAGCAATGCCTACGGACAAGCTGGTCGAGCGCCAATGCGACGGCCACAACAACAGACACGAAGGACGGCGCGGGCTCGAGCGGGCACACCATGGCGGCACCATCTGAGACGGCATCAGCTGCAGAAACCGCTCACGGCAGGGAGGCCAAAGAGATCGACAAGGAGAAGGGGAAAGACGACGACGAAAACCAAGAAGACCTGGCCACTGAGTCATTCATGTCTTTTGAAGAATGGAAGGCTCTTCAGCTGAAAAAGGCCGGACAAGATCCGGCGGAACTGCAAGCCCGGCGCCGGCAGCACCAGAACCAGTACCAGCACCAGAATCAGCACCATGCAGGACAACATGCGCACGGTGCCGGCGGTGATATCAACATCGACAGTATCGGCGACGACGGCGAGATCGCGCTCGATTTTGACGTACTCAACGAAAAAGTGTCGGAGATGGCAGGCTCCGCGTCCGCCCGACCCCCCGATCAGTACCGCGATGGAAGCGGCGGAGGCTACCGGCAGGACGGTTCTGCTGCGGATGGCGGTAACACGGCTTCTGGAAGCAGCGGCTCAGGAACAGGCGCACAAGATGAAGCCGTGGTCTACGCCGACGGCGCGACCCAATACTATCGCAGTAAGGATGCGGGCAAGACAGGCAAAGAGCGCTTCTCGTTTGCGTCGTTTGACGCTGGCGCCACCGTCCTCAAGGCCAACAAGGGCGTCAAGAACGCCAAGGCCATTCTCGTTGAGAACAAGGATTCGTACATGTTGCTCGAATGCCGCACGCGTGACAAGCACGTCATTGTCGAGCTGAGCGACGACATCCTTGTCGACACCGTCGTCCTGGCCAACTTTGAGTTCTTCTCCAGCATGGTGCGCCGCTTTCGCGTCGGCGTCAGCGACCGCTATCCCGTCAAAGCCGACCGCTGGCGAACGCTGGGCGAGTTCGAGGCGCGCAACTCGCGCGACATCCAGCCCTTTCTGATCGAGCACCCGCAGATCTGGGCCAAATACATCCGCATCGATTTTTTGACGCACTACGGAAGCGAGTACTACTGCCCAATCTCTCTTTTGCGCGTGCACGGAACGCGGATGCTGGACTCCTGGAAAGACAGCGAGAACGGCCGCGATGGTGAAGACGACGAGGAGCTTGAAAACCAGGAGCAATACGAGGGAAATGGGCAGCAGAACCAGAACCAAAACCAGTACAATCAGCAACTGGCCGAAGAAGACCGTAAACAGAAACAAGCAGACGAACACGCGCAGCATACACAGGCAGAGACCATTGCCGCACCGGAGGCATCACCAGCCGTCGACGACAGTGCTACGAATTTTTCGGCGGACGCTGATGCACATGGCCTGGGCGGCTACACACCTTGGAACCCCGTTGCGGCGTACCTAGGTTTATTCAATGCAGATGCCGTCTGCTTACCATCAGTAACTCCCGACGGATCTTCAGACAGCTCAGTAGCAAATGCCGATGACTCTTCAGCCCCCGGGTCGTCACAAGAGCAACGACGCGCAATGCCAGTGGAAGCTCATGCGGAGATAAACAACCAGTCTTCTTCAGAGACCCCCGAGCCTGCGTCGGCCTCCTCTGTTCAACCCCCTGAGCATGCCTCAACTCCCACACATACTCAAACCGCTGCGAAACGTACGTCGGCGGAATCGGCCTCCAACCCTCCACAATCAGCTTCCACCTCGTCCATCGCATCCACCGCCTCCGATGCGTCTCAGCCCTCTCAGTCATCCGAACCAGCCGCAAGTCCCTCTTCCCCCACGGCTAAGGCGCCAGAGCAGGCTGTTTCAGCACAACCACAGTCGGCAAAGCAAAAACCTGGCTCTGTTGGAAGCCAACAAACACCACCCACAACGACGACCGTACAGACGTCACATTCTAGGAACAGGGCGGCATCCGGTGGAGCGGGTGCAGCTGGTAGCTCGTCGCAGTCAGGTGGCAGCCCGTCTGGATCGACAGGCGGGTCGGGGTATAACCCAGGCGCCACACCTGGCGGCGGTGGCCAGGTCTCTGCTTCTACTAGCTCGTCAGGCGGTAACAACAATGGTGCATCCACCGGCGGCGCCCAGTCCCCACCGCCTCCACCCATCGTGCAAGAGAGCTTCTTCAAATCCATCACAAAGCGGCTCCAGTTGCTGGAGTCCAACACGTCTCTGTCTCTGCAGTACATTGAAGACCAGTCGCGGTTTCTTCAAGAAGCTCTGCGCAAGATGGAGCGCAAACAGATCGCGCGTGTCGACTCCTTTTTAGACACCCTCAACAACACCGTTCTGTCCGAGTTACGCAACATGCGCCAGCAATACGACCAGATCTGGCAGTCGACGGTCATTGCACTCGAGACGCAGCGCGAGCAGAACCAGCGCGAGACGGTCGCCCTGAGCGACCGCCTCAACGTGCTTGCCGACGAAGTGGTCTTCCAGAAGCGTATGGCCATCCTCCAGTCTGTGCTGCTGCTCTGCTGTCTCGCCCTCGTAATCTTCTCACGGGGACTGCTGTCGAGCAGCTCGGCGTCCGTGCCGCTCGATGTGAACACGGCCACGGCTGCAGCCATGGCTGCGGCAGCTGGGTACATGCCGGCTGGCCCGGCCATGTCTCCGTCACCAGCGTCGCCTCCGTCGGCGTCGTCTTCGGTCGGTCTACGCTCGAACCTTCGGTCGCTGCGGAACAACCTACGCAATCCGTACGCGGCCTATTCCGTCTACGCCTCGGACTACCCGCTGTCGTCGTATGCAGCCGGGTCTCCACCTCCAAGCAATTTGCGAACACAGCCCATGCCTGTACGTGGCGGTGGTGCTGCCAGTGCCGTCCCGGCTCCTATTAACAAGAACAAGGTCTTGCCACTAATACCGACCACGCCGACGTCGCCTGCCTCCCCAGGATCGCCTGTATCGCCGGAACCAATCGTCTCCAACGACGGCCAGGACAGCATGTTGGACGTTGACGATCGGGCGACCCATGTCATGCAAGAAAAGGGAAAAGGGCCCGTTCTTGTTGAACCCAAGTCTCTGACACCTCTCGCCTCTCTTCGTCTGAGCGACATTGAAGAGGCTGCCGACCAACTCGAGGATGAAGAGGACAGCGGCGAAGACCATGACGACGAGACTGTGCTGTCCGAAGCCACGACCGTCCGTCCCGATGGAAACAATAGGACAATATTGGGTGGCAGCGACAGCCTCGGCCTGTTCACACCGACTGCTGTAACACCTACAAAACTCAATGGCACGGCAGACGACTTGTCCTCGTCATCCATGACCACATCCTTTCTCCCAGGCACAGGCTCTTCAGAGGCCCCTCCAGGCCCCCCTTTGGGCCGCAAACGCCTAGCGTCACTCTCAGACGACCATAGTAATTGAGCAAAGGATGCAGGGTTGAACCCGTATCCATAACGAATGTACATAGCCTTGTATTCTATTCTTCCGCTTACGAACTGCGATGCAGTACATTAATGATAGTTAGCATAAGCGTTGTTTTGAGTAATGCTTTCATCGTGTTTAGCTTTTTGGTTACCCCCTATGTCTGGTTCAACCTCGTTGCGAATGAGCAAATGAGCACATGAGTTTTGTAAGGATTTGCTTGATTTTGCTAAACTAGAGACAACTGATTGAAAGCCTCCAAAAAGAAGCTGGGAAGTATGAAAGCGAAAAGATTACAGCAGATGGCACAAACGGCCGGTACCAGTTACCATGCATGACCCTGTCCATGTATAAAAACAAAACACAGCAAACTTGGTTCAGAATGTGCTTCAACAAGACCACAATATCTGACTCCCATACACATTGGTATATGAAACATTATCCACTTCCGCCAGATCAATCAACCCTCAAGATTCCATCCATCCTCGTTGACAAGACATGCCGTTTCTTACCGATGCAATACCGTGCAGCGAAAGAAAGCGTAAAAAAAAAAACAGGACCAATTTTTTTGGTTTTTGTAGCACACAAACAAAAACAACAAACATGATAAATAGCAAACAGGTCCCCATTCACATATAAGGACAAACAGCCCGGATTCCAAACACATCTCGCTTGAGACACGTCGGGGAAACGTCGCCGTGCTTCCACAGCCTCCAGGACAGGTTTGTATTATCAGTACAGCCTTTGTATGGCATTTTCAAAGGTGACACAAATGAGAAAACAAAATAGAAAGAAATAATAGAAGGCAAACATTGCAAAACGTGTAGCATGGAGGACAGTCATGGTCGCAAGATGATGATATACCGGTACCGTTTGCCGAGCATCGTCAGCAACGAGTCCCATTGCTTGGTTTCAAGGTGTCAACGATGGCAGCGCCGAATGGCCCGTTGCTGTTTAATTCGGCACGTACACACGCTGAAGACTTGCGTCGTAGTCAATCTCTTCAAGAGCCGCCATTCTAGTACCACGGTCGAACTGAGAGCGGCGGCGACGTTGTTCATCCCGGTAGTACTGGCTGAGATGGGGTGTGAAGAGACCTGTGCCAAGTTCTATTAGTCAATGCGGGATGCATTATAAACTATGAAGGGATGGCCAAGCCAATGGTCATTTTGTGCAACTAACCAACGTGCTCAGCATTCTCGCAGCTCCGCTTCATCTTGGACGGATTGTCTGGTCCGGGGAACTCCTCTTCACGGCCAGCAAGCTCGGGGTTGGTCCCACCTATGGTGTAGTAAAGCTATACACAGAATGATTAGAAATTCTCTTTCATTCCATTGTATTACTCGTTCCAGAAACCCTTACCTTGGGACGGTAGTGGGGTGATTCGAGCATCACGGAGCTGTTTCGAAACTTCTGCACAAGGCAATCTCTACCTTGGATGGCTATGGTCCGTTAGTTTTGTTGATATTTATTCCAAGCAAACCTGTCATTCAACAACGTAAGTATCTTACTAGCATAAGAAATCTCAGCAATTTTGTCGCTCCGGAAACAGTTCCTACATGGTCGTCAGCTGGTCGCCTGAGGAAGATGAAATAGAGAGCTGCTTTTGTTCTCACCAGCGTTGGTTGTCCCTCGCATTAGCAAACTATATAGTCTGATTAGCAAAAAAGACATAAATGACTGGAGACGGAAAGATACCCGCTTGGGACGAGATATTCGTATAGCAGATGCTTCCATTCAACGTACGTCGATGATATCTAGCGGCTGTTATTTGTCAGTATAAGCTCAAAGCCTGTAGAATTGATTGGGCCGACTTACATCTGCAAAATTGATGAACGCATATCCGACACTTGAGTCATTGGTTAGCATAATGAAACAGTAGTTTTGGCATGCATGGAGACAAACACGGCACAACTTACTTGCAATCGTTTGCGAAATCAATTCGCAAGTACATAAAGTCGTACTTGCCCCAGCTCGACTCGTCGATGATTGCCTTCAACATCCGCTGGTCGACCTTATTGGGAATGTTTCGGAGCATAATCTAGAATTTGATCAGAACAAGTATTCAATAGGTGGCTCAATGGTCACAGCGTTTATCGTGACTTACCGTCGTCCGCACATCAACACCATCGCGAATACGCTTGACATCCACTTGGTTATGATGGCCGTTGGGGCCAAACTGCATCGACCTATCCATGCGCATTACACCACGACGGTTGCCATAACGTACCATGGGACCATGTCTCTGTCCGCCGTCATATCCTTGATGAACAATGGTTGACATGGGTGTCCCGGGAGGAAAGACAATAGGGGCTCCGGCCATTGGTCCCATTCCGGCCATGGCTCCCATAGTTCCCATTGAGCCCATAGGCCCCATCGGCCCCAAGGTGCTCATGCCTCCCATGCCTCCCATGCCTCCCATACCTCCCATTCCTGAGCTCGGACCATTGAACGGATCCAAGATAATTGGGCCAGTGGTGCCGTATGGGTTACGCACCACCATGGGGACGAGGGCAACCTGCTGCTGCGGCGGTCCCCCGATGCCTGACGTTGGAGGGGTTGGCTGATGTCTGGCTGGAACCATGGAGTTGGAACCATGTTGCAGCGCCATCTTTTGGGACTGCATGCCTTGTTGCCCCTGGAAACTCGCAGTGTTGTTGTCCGGCGGAGGGTAGCGGCCAGGAGTAGGCATCGGCGTCGTAACTCCGTCGTTCGGAGGCGCCGCTCGCCCAGTGTGTCCATCAGGCTGGTAAAAGCTCAGCCGGATGTGGAGGCCCTGTTTTGTATAAAGTACTCATTAGTTTATCAATATCATTGAAAATGGGCTGGTTGTAGTGTACTCGATGAGATGCTACCTCGCACTTACATCAACAATGACGCCATTCAATTTCGACGCCACATTCATGGCAACAGTACAATCAGCGTATTCAATGATCGCTTTGACAGCACCCTCCTCCGACCGAGGATCCTTCTGGAAAGCGAAAAGATCTCCCTCGGCCTGAAGCAGCTTGAGTACATGGGGCTCGACCTGGGATAATTCCATAGGAGCATTGTGGAGAAGAACAGCAAGCATATCCAACTGGCCCTCATTCGCAGCAGCAAACATGTCACTGGGCATAGCAAGCTACAACACATATTAGAACGAGAAGTGTTATGAGTGCATTGTAAAAGGTGAGACATCAACTCACCTGCATGAAGTCAGGGGGGGTCATGAAAGTCGACGACCAGCCGGGGCCACACAAATGGACGTTTCTGTGGCAGGTGATGGCATCCCGAATGCTGTTATAATGAACGTACACCTTTGAGTTTCTGGAGCAAATGGTCTTGTGTGCACCCCCAGCTCTCGTGAGCGACGTAAGTCTCTATATTCAGGCGCTGATTAGTATCGGCATGGTGAATAGACAGAAACTTTATGTGGGTATCAGCTGGGACCGATGAGGGATATAACACATACACCGATGAATTCATTAAGTTCAGCGGCCCCAGGTTGAGTCGAACATGAAAACTCGACGCATCGCGACAAGAAGTTTTCAGTGCTCAGACTATTGGAAATCTGGCCAGGAATTGACACTTGAAGGTCCTGCCCTTCGGCTACTTGGTGGTTACCCTCAACAGATCCGTTCGAAGACAAGCTATCATAGAACGGGCGGAAGCTAGACGCGGCAGCAGACAGCTGTTGGTTCGACTTCATCTTTGCCTTGGACGACGGAGTGATGAAGGGGTCTTTGTCCGCAGACATGTTGGTGGGACGGAACCCACCACCGCTACTATGAGTAGGCGAGAAGACCAAAGTATCCTCGCGGTCGGGTGTCTGGATGAGCTTGGACGTTGACTTCACCGAACTGGCGTTCGGTGAGAATGCGATGAGGCGAGAGGATGGAGTACCAGTAATATTTCCGGCGTCAGCACCGCCTCCGGAGACAGAACCTGGAGACGATTGCGGAAACTGGTCGCGGAACTGCGACATGGTCGAAGGACCCGCAGCCATCTGACGAAATATTTTACTATTAGCTACCAAAGACACACAATAGTGTTCGGCGTTGATAGTCTCCGACAATGACAGTTGGAAATGGCTCAGATAAGACTTACCAGACTTCTTTAGGAAGAGTAGGTGATGATGCTCGAAAGGGACCGAGACACGTAGAGTCAAAAAGGAAGCACAACGAAGTTGAAACGGGAAATAAAGCCACAACACAACAAGCAAGTGCAGCTGGCAAGTCAAAAAGAACCGCCAAATGCAAGATGATGTGAGTCAAAAACAAAAAGAGACGTGAAGCGAGATCAATAGAAGTGGGAGAAGAAAGGAAAGAAGAGCCAGGAAAGCGGACATGGTGAGTGGGAAAAACACAAAACAAGTCAGTCTTGGGGCATACAAATTTCTTGAAACAGGAAGGTGCGAACGCGTCTTAACAACAGAGACAGAGGAAGTTGCGAGCATGTCCAGAGCAGGAAGGAGCGACCTGGTTCTCGAAGTTTTGGGAAGGCACGCGCTGGTCGGTCGCGACAAGGTCCAGCCGAGGAAGGAGCGAAAGGTGGCATGGCCCTTGGAGAATGTCCCTCAGAAAGAAGCCTGGCTCTCGTCTTTTTCCGGTCAAAGTGACATCTCATATCATCAAGACATTCACGGGGCTTAACGGGGTGGTATTCGTGGCCTTTCAAACCGTTTACTTTGTGGTTGGACGGCATTGAAGCGTCACGACACATTCGGAAGCCTGAACTCGCGAGCTAGTTGACAAATTTTACATCTCACTCACAAACGACTTTGACGGAGAATACGATAAAATATGTATTAGCAGTCGGGTGTTGCACGATAGGAGGGCGGCCTTTAAAGTTGTCTCTGGCAATAGATACGTCTTTTCTTTGTTTTGGTGCTTTCGACATGGTATGACGCGATTGGATATGCATCACAGTACACGGCTCGTTTCCTGCAGTAAAAAGAAAGACGATGAAGCAGGCCATGGCAAGCAGGAAACAGGACGGGAGATACACTTATGCTTATATTATTTATTGTTGGGATTCTACATTCTTTCAGGTAAAGAGGGACCTTGTTGTATACCATTCTCGGTTGGTATTCTAGCTCCTTTTCTTTCTACAAAAGAATATTGCCAGTTTTTACTTTATACACAGTAATGGGGCCAGAGTATGTGAGTGGCTTCATTTAGATCTATTGAATGTGCCCACGACCTTTATTTACTTTCCATGAGCACCTAGTCACAAGTCTTTCATTGCCAGTCCCAAAAATAAATAAATAAAAGGTGTCTGTGTATTTTTTTTTTTAAAAAAAAGGAGTAAACAGAATTGCGCTATTTTCAACTCAGAACCTTTGATTTTTCTCCCATGCAAAAGCTATAGAAAAATCACATAGTGCACAGTATTATTTCCGTATTTGTGGCGCATAATAATGGCCCGGCCGGTGTTGCTGGTTCATAAGCCGAGATAGCAGAATCCGTGCGTATGCAACGGACCAGTGGCGCAATGGTAACGCGTCGGATTCCAGTAAAATGGTGCTTCCCGAAGATTGTCCGTTCAATTCGGGCCTGGTTCAACTCAGTTATTTTTACCTCCAAAAGCGTGATTCTTATTTTTTTGCGTCTTTTTTCACTGGCCTTCCTTGGAGCCGTCTTCTCGACGGGGCACAACTCCATTTTAGCCTCCACATCAAACACTCCCCGTAAGTGGAGGTTCTTGCCAGTTTGGTGGTGGGACCGTTGCCTTTGAAGGTCACGTGCATTTCCCCGCCTGGCCCGCATCAATATGATAGAGCTTTGGAGCTGTTTTAGATTGGTGGCAGCCTAGCGGCGGTTGCTGTCCCTGCCCTTGTATCGAACATGACATGCAGCAGCTTCCTTTTTATGTGACGACGACACCGACTCCAACCACGACATCCGATTTAGTCTATCACCTCCGTTCTTTGCCTACTACATCCTAGGATAGATGGTTCAATAGACGCTGCTGTCGAGCGTGGCCTAACACAGGCGCTAAAGTATTTCCTGCCGCACACATCCTGGCGACCATGCCGCGGCGGCCGCAGGCATACGACGACTACGGCGTAGCCGTGCAAGATGTAAGTTTTCTACAACCACCAAAGGACTTGCCCTGAAGACCGGATATTGACCTGCGTGATTTGCCGCCAAGATCATCTTGTCTTCCTCCGACACCGACTTCATCGACCAACTTATCCCAGTCTTACGCGATGCGACTACCAACGGCGGCCGGCCGGTCAACCTGACGCAAAGCCTGGCGCAATATGTCGACGACCGTGACGCCGAGATCGAGACAATCGGTCTCACGAAGCACGAAGAGTTTCTAGGCTCCGTCAACCAGCTGCAAAAGGTCCGCGAAGGCACCGTGGCATTGACGGCCGAGATCCTCGAGCTTAACCAGTCCATCCAAGCGAGTACTGAGAAGCTTGCAGAGCAAAAGCGCAATCTCGTCGACACCCGGGCGGTCCGACAGAACATCTCTGATGCAGCAGACGCTCTGCGCGAGTCGCTGCGGATCCTGCATGCCGTCAACCACGCGCACGAGCTAATCCGCAAGAAGAAGTACTATGGGGCACTGAAGTCTCTTGAAGATCTGCAGAATGAGCATCTGGTGCCCATCATCCAGAACAAGTACGCCACACAGCACCAGCTGGCCGACCTGATCCAGCGCTCGATCCCCGCGTCGCAAAAGACCATCTCCGAGGCGGTCATGACCGACCTCAACACATGGCTGTACCGCGTGCGCGAGACGTCGCAATTCCTGGGCGAGGTTGCCTTTTATCACACGGACATTCGGCGTACGCGAATGAAGGAGCGCGTCGAGCAGAATGGGTTCTTGAAGCACTTCAAGCTCAACTCAGCCATCGAGCTGGTCTTCGATGAGAGCGAAGAGTTTGACGTGCTCGACAACGACGAAGTGAACGTGGACTTTACACCGTTGTTTGAGGCCCTGCACATCCACGACGCCCTTGGCCAGAGCGACAGGTTCCGTGCCGACTACGCGGCAACACGGCGACAGCAAAAGGATCTGCTCATGCCAACGTCGGTAAAGTTGGAGGACGATGATGACGGCTCGTCACTTAGCAGTCTTCTTGAGGGAGTTGCAGGCTTTGCCATTATTGAAAAGGCCACCATGCGGAAGGCACCACAGCTGCGGTCAACGGTTGATGTGGACGAGCTATGGGACTCCATGTGCCAGACAGTCATCAATCTCATCACGAAGGCTCTCCGCGACGTTAACAACGCCGAGGTCCTCTTGAAAGTCAAGGGCGTCATTGCGTTGTTTATCCAAACCATGGAGGGTTGGGGTTACTCGGTCACGATGCTAGACAACTTCTTGCTCCGGTTGTTTGACAAGTACGCTGAGCTCCTGAAGCGGCGCTTCAGCGAAGACTTCCAGGAAATCGTGTCAACCGACGACTACATGCCCATGACGATCAACACTCTTGAGGAGTACGAGAAGGTTGTCAATGTCAGCTGGTTTACGCAGGAAAAACCGTTATCCGAGTTGACATTCCCTTATGTCCTGCCATTTTCTCAGATGTACCCACTCTGCTGCATTGACATCCGCAACTTTCTTAACCAATTCTACTTTTTCTCCGACGACCATTTCCAGCATGCTAGCGTCATCGACGAGACACTGCGCAAGGTAAACCCCCTCGCACCAGTAGAAGGAAATATAAGGAAACCGCAAAGTCGTATGGTTGTTGCTAACGTTTTAGTCTCTGGATGAGCTTTTGAACGACAAGATCTGCAAGTCTCTTGTGGAACGGTTAAGCTCTCAATACCTTGGCCAGATTGTGCAAATTCTGATCAACCTGGAACACTTCGAAACGGCTGGCCAAGAGCTAGAGCAGCTACTGATCCGGGCACGTTCGTCGACGTCGGCTGGTGGGCCTGTCAGTTTGACGGCCACAGAGCAATTCCGGAGCAACAAAAAGACGGCCGAGAAGCGCATCTTTGAGTTGGTCAACTCCAAGATTGACGATCTAGTAGATACGGCCGAGTACGACTGGATGGCCCCGACACCGCAATCGGAGCCGAGCAACTACATCCAGACACTCACCCGGTATCTGTCCAACATTATGAGCTCAACATTGCTCAGTCTGCCGCGAGAAATCAAGGAGCTCATTTACTACGACGCTCTGAACCACGCTGCAGACCGCATTCTGATGCTCCCCTTGGCTCCTGAAGTCAAGTACATCAACCCCAACGGTGTCGCCGACCTTGCGCGCGATGTCCAGTACCTCACCGAGTTTGTAGGCAGCCTCGACAACGCATTCATGTTGGAGCAGAACCTGGATGAATTGCAGCAGTCTGTGGCTTTGATGCAGGCCGAGAACGCCGACGAATTTTACGACATCACGACGCGGAACAAGAAGTTTGGCCGTGTGAATGCCCAAAACGGTGCGATCTTGCTAGAGAAGGTGACACACGCCGTGGAGGGACCGAACCGGGCGGCACAAGGCTTGGCCAACTTCTCGAGCAGATTTGGTTTACGGTGAGCGTGACTGCTCTGCTGCGCCATGATATCAATGACCTGTCAATGTACGCGGGAGTGTAAAGTTCGGAACAGCTTTTTGTATATACTGTTTTTATATAGCGTACTTGTTCTTCTATTTCGATTTGTTTCCTTGTCTCTGGAAAGTCAGATTATGCGTTGCAAGATAGCGGATGATTTCGACGTGCTCAAAAAATAAAGTATGCAAATGTAAAGAAATTGCTAACTCTTCTGAGTGGAGCAGTTGCAGATACACTATAAAAGCCAAGACGAAGAACACCGACGTAGCATTAGAATAAACGGTCCAAGAACATATATTTTCCTCTTGCCCAATATCCATCTTTAAAAGAATACAAAAATAACTTTAGGACAAGAAAGCAAAAGTGAAAGATGAAACATTGATATCGCGAGGGAATAGAAACCTAAAACGTGAAGGGAAATAGTGTAGAGGTTGGACGGGGAAACAAGGTACGTAAAGAAGAAAAAAGAACCGCTCGCCACTATTTCCAACAAGCACAAATGGACAATTCATGGTAGCCCTATGTTTCCGCCCTATTATGCGCCGCCCTGTATATGTTGGTCAGTTCATATACCAATTATAAATACATAAAGTACAAGGCGCCTAGACTCATCTTGCATTACGTACCTGGGGAGGAGGCATGGAATACGTGTTGTACATGTTGGGGTCCATGTCCGCATACATTGGCGCCTGGCCCTGGCCATAGCCGGCTGGAGCACCTGTTTGGCCCTGCACAGGATACATACCAGGCTGCCGGTAGTCAGCCTCACCACCCAGAGGATGCGTGCCCATGGACGCGTACTCGGCGAGCGCGTGGTTGGCGCCTGGGATCTGTTGGCCGGCACCGGCGCCGCCAGCAACGCCCTGCTGGGCAGCCGCCGCTGCAGCCGCCGCCGCGGCCGCCGCAGCGGCAACGTTCGCTGATGCGGCGTTGGCACCAGCGGCCCCGCTTGGGTTAGAGCTGCCTCTCTTGGGGTGGCTCGTGGCCTCTTCGCGGGGAACAATGTCAATGAGGAAGTCAAACATATCGGACTTGGCGAGTGCGGACGCAATATCGGAGCGCTGGAGGGTGCGGCGCTTGTTCTCTTCGGCGTGGATCCAGGCGCGCATGGTGAGCTCCGTGATGAAGATGTCGCAACCCTTGGCAAACAAGATAGGCGCCTCGGCAGAGATCATCTTGACTTCGGGGTCGGCCTTCATGACCTTCTTTATACGGGCGAGGGGCAACTGGTGCAACTTGTAGTCATGTGTGTCGCTCTCGAGGTGGTTGATGGTCTGCTGCCAGTACGTCGTGAGGATGTCCTTGTACGGACCCGTGAGACCTTGGTGGACCTAGATCCGGACAATAAGCATTAGTTGTGAGCAACGGCAAATGCAAAGATTGGGATCGAGTTGGGACGCACGTTGGCCCATGGGCCTGTGTAAAGCTCTGAAGGCGCATAACCTTGTTGGGAGAGCTGGAAGGCATAGTTAGTATCGGCACCGTCGAAAGGGGCGATGGCGCATCCAATGTAACAGCTCGCAATGCTTGCGCAGTGAGAGGAGGGAGGACTGGGACACGAACCGCAGCGCTGGCGCCTAGAGTACATGCGAAATCGAGGGTTAGCACGTTGGTCGCATATGCAGGTGAGAGGTCGGCTGGCACGGGACGGGAAGGGCAGAGCAAGGCCCATTGACCGCAATCCAGGGCGATCAAAGAAGAAAGTGTATGCCAAACGACGTACCGTAATGGCCGCCATGGCTTGTATCGTACACGGCTTGCTGGGCGCGTCCGGCTTGGCCCTGGGCGTTGCCCGGGGTGGCGTTGGTAGCGGGTTGGTTGTTGGCGTCCATGGCCGACGAATTGGAGCGCGAGCGCAACGATGGTGATTTGGAGAGGCGATGCGCAAAGCAGAGGATGCAGCGATGATGGATGGGCGACGACGCCAATGGGTCGATGCGGTGTTGAAGACAACGGAGGAAGCTTGCAAGAAGCTCCGGGCCGGTTTTCGGTGGTCGTGGAGGATAATGCTTCTAGTAGTGGGGGTTTAGTTGGCTGGCGCGTGTGGCTGGGCTAGTGTGCCTGGAATGGACTGCAGCACGAGTGACGGGGCGACGAGGTGAGGCGCGAGGAATATTGCGCGGCAAAAAAGACGGCTGAACAAAGTCGGACTGCGACAGAGTCTAACGGATTTGTAAACGCAAAAATACAAAGAGCTTCCAATTTGTGTGATTTTCTTCTCCCGGGTGAAAGCAGAGATAGCAATTAGGCGACAGGCGGACCAAGCAGGCGGGAGAGAAAGGTTGCGCGAAGACTACTGACAGAAAAATTAAAATAAAACAAAGAACAAAGAACAAAAAGAAAGCAGCAAACGCAGAATATCACAGCTCTCAGAAAACGTCAGCGGTCATGAGAAGGCTGGTAACGTGCCCGCTTGCTGGGGGGGAAGAGGCTGGCTGCAGTATACAGGTGACAAGGCAGGTGCGGATGCGCGCCCAGTTTTGTTTACTTCGCGATCCGGCCTAGCGGGGTCGCCGTGCCTCGTTCCTTCCTTGTTTGTCAAAGCAGCCAGGCAAGGCCAAGCAAGGCCCGGGAAGGCTCTCAGAGCTTTTACGAGGGGAAAAGGTGGGCGCCTCGCAGCTTGCTTCTCGTTGGTTCAGAAGTCGTCTCCTCCACCCCGTTTCGCCCGCCATCTTGGTCAGACTGGGGTCGACCAGGGCCGTTCGCTGGGACAAAGACCAGACCAACGAGTCCGTTTTTTCGTTTTTGGCACCCCTTTGCTGGCTCTTGATTTGCTCCTTCCGCGGCGCGGCCTTGATTGGCGGAGTCGGGTGATTGGCCAGTGATGATAGAGCTTCGCCGACAAGAACGAGGATTGGACGAATCGCCGGTGGAGTCGTCGGTCGTCCTTGCCATTCCGTCTTGCCGCATTTTACTTTCTTCAACAAACACAATGGGAAGGAAGATGTGCCAGACTACCGGCGCATTGTGAAAGGCAATGGCGCACTTGCCCGGTCTGGTTGGATGGAGCACGCGCACTCTCCTTCTCTCACTTGCGCCCCTCGGTGGCCCGGTCATGCCTTCCTCGCTGGGGAGAAGTCGTGTATTTTGATTGCTCGACAAGGCAGGGCCCATCCACAAATGGAGCCACTCAGCTCTTTCTGTTCAGTTTGCCCATTTCTCTCAGGTGAATAATACAAAATGGCCCCGAATTTCAATCAAGCCATTCGTTGGTCGCGACCGGACGAGCCAGTAGAAGAGACGGATAGCAGGACACCGTGCATGGTCGAGGCATTGGGAGATCGAAAAGTAGTGGGTAGAATAGAAAAGCAAATTATGACGAAATGACGCACCTTATTTTTGACTGGATGCGTTTATTCCAGAGTCCGTTTTGCGTGTATTTCTTAAAGATTGTCGACTGTTCTAGGAAGGAACGCAATCGGTGATATAAATAAAAAATAAAATAGCAAATAAAAGGAAGCACGGGCTCCTGTCTTCGCGCTTGTTTCTGGATCTCTTTATCGTCCAAAGCTGTGAATGAGGCAGGAATCGACAGGTAACGAAAAATAGGGTCCGGAAATTCAAGAACAAGACATCCCAGTATATAACGTTTAAGATTTGCGGGTGGGGGAAAAGCTTGCAGCTGGTGTAGGCGTGTGGGAGGGCGAGGCGCAAAAGGATGTCTCTTACGTGTTTGGGTGTCTTTTTCTCTGCATTTCCTTGTTGCTTTTCCGCGCAAGACAACAAAAGCGGTCAGTGAAATGTGAATGGCTGGTTGGGCATCAGCCGCCGCATTGTGGGCCTCCAACGTAGTCGGACTGTGGTGGCCTCGCGCCTGTGCCCAACCCACCCCGCGGCGTGCCGGTGTGGATCGTGCTGTCGTGCCAGCACAGCAGCGGTGGGCATCTGACAGCCAGCATGCATTACGTTGTACGTTGTTGTATGTCGTATTGGTGGCAGTGCGATTTCGTCGCCTTGTTTATCAGGCATGATTAGTCACTTTCAGACTGATTTTGGCGTACGCGCTAGTATCAAGATGACTAAGTTAAGGTCCCCACTTAATTTCTTCAGGGACGACGAAAAAATTGCTGCAATGAAATGTCCGACTTGCGTGTCTGCTCTTCCAGCTCTCTTTCCTCTCTTCTTTTTGCATGTTCCATCCACAAACACAACCATGGCGACAACAATAGAAGATCTGACCGAAAGTCAGATCGACGCCCTCTTTCTGGAGGCTGAAGAACGGCTAGCTGAAAAGAATAACGCAGCTGTGTTGGCAGCTCACGGCCGGCCTTTCCAAGTCTCCGTTGCCAACGAGGCCAAGAAGGCGGCCGAAGAGGCTGCTGCCAGCAAAGAGGTCACGGCCCGCAAGACGGACGGCGTGACAATCCGTGTCGCGCAGCTCGAGAAGAAGAAGAACAAGGTACGTTTGCTTGATGGTTGTTGATTGTCCTTGCTTTGTTTCCGCCTTGCGCCTTCCAACACACTGCATGAAAAGATGAAAACTATCCCAATAAAATTGAGGCATTGGGTGATCTCGTTATGGGTGACCCCTTGCAAACACATGATTTTATTCTTTATCATAGTTACTCTGATCTCTTTATTTTGTACTGTTTTTGCAGTTCTATGTTGTTTTGTCACGTTTCACCAACAAGACACTCGAAACTAACTGCTTGGCAAAAGGAACCTGACAGTGCTGGCCCCGACTGGTTTGGTCTGCAGAAGACCGTCCTGACGCCCGAAGCTAAGCGCGAGTTCCAGATCCTGCGCATGCGTGGCATCCTTGACCCGAAGCAGCACTTCAAGAAAGACAACCGCAAGAACATGATTCCCAAATATTCCGTGTTTGGCACCATCCTGGAGGGCACGGCCAAGGGCGAGCGTGATCGCCTGACGCGCAAGCAGCGCAAAAACACCATGGTCGAAGAGGTTTTGGCGTCACAGGAGTACAACCAGCAGTTCAAGCGCCGGTACAACAAGATCCAGGAGAAGAATGCCAGCGGCAAGAAGGGCTTCTACAAGAAGCTTGTTGCTGGTCGACGTCGCCGGCCTTGATATGGCCAACGACTGCTGCCTCGCTCGTATCGCTCTTGGCTTTTCTTCACCAGTTGGAAAGGCCAGGGCGTGCGGCACGAGGCAGCACCCCAGATCATACAAATAAATTCTGCAGCGAAAGCCAGGGCAGTCCAATGTGCCGCGCCCTGGCAGGCCTTCGTCTAGCCACGTACCCGACAAGGTGTTTCCACACAGGGCCGTCGAAAGACGGAAATCATGCCGAACGAACACAACGGGCTTGCTAAAGAGCTCCAGAGAGCGCTCAACGAAGAGCTGAAATGCCAGCTGTGTTGTCCACGCATTGCAGCGAGGCAAATATGCCTCGCTCGAGCCGCCGTTAGACGGCGAAGGCTCTTGCAGCGGTTCTCAAATTCTTAGCACAGACAAATTAGTACATGTTTATTGCCGAGGAAATGAATAATCAACTGCAACTCAAGGCAAAGTGTGAAGAGACTATAAGATTTAATGTTGGGGATTGTTTCAAAGCTCCCTAAAAATCACACAGTGTGTAATACAGTGCATATTCTATCAATTACGGTATGGTGCCGCTTCGGTGCTGGGCGAGACTAAGAACGCGCCAAAAATCTGCAGACAGCATCAAATCTTTCTAGGCCAGCATCGAGCCGAGTCAGGAGGACATCCCTCGTCTCCCTCACGACACAGCGACACAAAATGAACGCACCGCCATTAATACGGTCACTTCGGCGGACCTTTCAGGTCCAGATGGTAGGTCCAAGCCGCAATGGTATCCGAAACCCAAAGCAATCTCCGTGACTAATGGGGCCTCGTTCTTAGCCGACCGCAAGATGTGCATGGCAACAGGTCATGCGACCGGCACAGTACCGCTTCAACAGCTCCTTGTGAGTTCTCGCAGTGCGACGAAGGGAATGTCGATATACTTTGAGTGCCGATTCATCTAACAACAGCTCTACCATGATCGCAGACGGTCGTCGACATCCTCACAGCAGGCCAATGAACTGTAGGTTATCCCGTTGCACACCACGTCCGATTGCACCTCTCTTCGTGGCCCAGCATCTAGAACTGACACGTTGTTCTTTCTCTCTCACAGACCAACGAAATCGACGACGACTGAAAGTGGCCCCACTGACAACGCGCGTGTCCCCCGCTCCGTCCAGGCGCTATATCTGGCACCCCTCCGTCGCGAGGCCGAGTATGGTGTGCCCTCGGCTGACCTGCAGCTGCGCTCGTACAGCAGGCGTGGTCTTATCCTCTTTTCCGACTTTGCCCTGCGCGCTGCCTACTACCTCGGCCTGCCGGCGTTCGGCCCCGTGCCGCTGCCGCGCATCACGGAGCGCTGGACGGTGCCCCGGTCGCATTTCATTCACAAGAAGTCGCAGGAGAACTTTGAGCGCATCACGTCGCGGCGGCTGATCCAGATCCGTGACGGCAATCCGGAGACGGTGCAGATCTGGCTGGCGTTTTTGCGGAAGCACGCATACCCGGGCATCGGCATGAAGGCCAACATGTGGGAGTTTGAAAAGCTTGGTACGCTGTGTTCCTCCCCGTCCCCGTCCCCGTTCACTCGATCCTTGAACAATGGCGTACTAACCACACTAACCCCCTCCAGGTGTTGGCAAGGCCATGGATGCTGCAGCGGGCGAAGCCAAGGGCCTGCTGGAACCCCAATGGGACCACGCGGGCGCGGGCAAGATTCCTACGACGGTGGCCCGGGCCAAGGCCCTGGAAGAGCTGGCGAAGAAGGAGGGCTATGCCCAGACGGTCCAGCGGATCAAGGAGGAGCTCGTTACGTCGCGGCAAATGGTGGCTGGCGGCAGATAGGAGAGAGACGAAGGAGGGTCATGATATGTCTAGAAAGAGAGCGTTTGAGTTGCACACTTTGTACTAGTAGAAAAAATCACGTTTTCCCAGTTGTACACAATCACATTTAACGACTGCCGTTAGGTCCTCATTTAAGAAAGATTGCTAAATACAGTATAATTATTTGATATGTTTTATAGCATGACGAGGCTCTTAATGTGGTGTTGCTAACTGCCGCCTTCTCGTTATCCGTGCGGGCTGTAAACAGTCTGGCCTAGAATAGTCACTAAAATTTTATGCCCGCCAAAAAATCACCAGATGCCTCTCCCGCCAATTCCACCAGCATTCAACGACGGCCACAACAGAGCCCGCCTCGTCTAGTCAATTCATAATTGTTTGCATCGCGTTCTAGAATACCGCTTTCTTGCATTCGCTCTCCACGGACACAATGCAGATTGCCCGGCCACTGCTCTCTGCAGCCCGGGTTTGCCGGTCTCGGAACGCCCAGTCAAAAAGCAGCTCTGCAGCCTCACTACCTCTCCTCTACAGCCCATGCCGTCGTTGTCTCTCAGAAGGCCGCAGGCTGCAGATTCCACAAGAGCAAAAGCAGCCGCCGTCTCCATCACCATCGCCACCACCCTCATCGCCTACAGATGCGCCAAGTGGCGCCATCATCTTCTCCGGCATCCAGCCGACCGGCGTGCCGCACCTGGGCAATTACCTGGGTGCGCTGCTGCGCTGGGTCCAGCTGCAAGAGGGTGCCGCCGGCGACACGAGCACGCAGCTATACTACTCGGTCGTGGATCTGCATGCGCTGACGTCCGTACAGACGGCCAGCGACAACAGCGGCGCAGTCCTGCGCCAGCGGCGTCGCGAGACGCTGGCCGCGTTGTTGGCTATCGGCCTGGACCCAGACCGGTGCGTGCTCTTCTACCAGTCGGCTGCATCGGCACACTCGGAGCTCATGTGGCTCCTGAGCTGCACAGCGTCGGTCGGGTACCTGTCACGCATGACGCAGTGGAAGAGCAAACTGCACCTCAAAGACGACGCGTCGTTTGCCGACGACAAGGCTCGCGCGGCCCTCAAGCTCGGCCTCTTTTCGTACCCCGTGCTCATGGCCGCCGACGTGCTCGTCCACCGCGCCACGCACGTCCCCGTCGGCGAAGACCAGTGCCAGCACCTCGAGTTTGCCCGCGAATGCGCCGCGGCCTTCAACCACGTCCACGGCCAACCGCTGCTTGTGCCACCCGCGACGCTGCTCTCGCCCGCGCGCCGCATCATGTCACTGCAGCAGCCGACGCAAAAGATGTCCAAATCGAGCACGGACGCGCGCTCGCGCATCCTGCTCACCGACGACGCCAAGACGATCCATGACAAGATCATGGGTGCCCGGACCGACTCGACGAATGCCGTGTCCTACGACCGCGAAAACCGGCCGGCCGTGTCCAATCTGCTGGAACTCCTGGCCCTGATGGAAGGCGACGACAACAGTCCCTACAGCGCGGCCACGACGTCCAACGCCAGCGTGCAGGCCACCGCACAGGCTCTCGCCACGGAGATGCACGGCAAGTCACTGGGCCAGCTCAAGAAACGCGTGGCCGATGCTGCTGTGCAGCGCCTATCCAGTATTCGTGAACGGTTCACTGACGTGCTGGAGCGTGATGGTGGCGCATATCTCGACCGTGTCGCCGAGCATGGTGCCAAGAAAGCAAAAAAAAACAGTGAAGAGACCATGGATGCCGTGAGAACGGCAATTGGCCTGTAATTGTAATGTGTGGCGCCAGGGTAGAAGGACGTCGATGTAGACGTCAGTATCTATCTGCTGTGTAAGAGTATCGAATCACGCATCCGTGGCAGCTGAAGCCAGCTTTGAAACGAAAAGGTTCAAATTCCATTCATCGTCTATCCTGTTCGCTATCTGATTTGTGAAATTGCCTTTTATTTTATCGTGTCTGTTGCGTAGTGTTGGTGTGGGGATTGAAAGAGACAGATGCAAATCGCCAAACAAAACTTAAAATAGACGAAAGAAACCAAACAAATACACACTCCATTCTGCACTCGCTCCACCATCACGAAGCATATGCAAAGGTGGAGCCTCTGCAAGTCAACCAAAATTCACGAACGACGTTGTTCGTTTGCCGAGCTCCACGAAGACTATGAGGGCAGAAGATGAGACACTCGTTAGAAACGATTTCTGCAAGTGCTGTACGGGGAGGGATGGACTCGGCTTACCTGATGATCTTCTTGAGGAAAAAGGCCCTGTCGCTGGCCGTCACCTTGTCACTCGGGAATGATGGGCTCATGAGAGCATGCTCCAGCCATGTATTCGCCCGCACGTGCTGCACCACCATCTTCTTCAGCGGCTCGCCCAGCTTGTCGAGCTCGCTCCGCGAGGCGTTGCCGCCAATGTTGTTGATCAGCGATTGCGCCAGCAGTGGCCCAAGGTGTTCCATTGCGTTGCTAACGATGGCCTTGAGAGACGCGTCATCCAGCCTCAGCGTCAAGAATGTTGTCTACAAGGCTAGTATTAGCAGAGTGAGAACTGCCGGGAAAGGGACGGAAAGGATAAAATCGAACTCACCCAAAAATCAGCCGAAGCTCCCTTCGGCAACGGCTCACGACCATCAAGCACTTTCAAAGTAAACATGAAAAAGAACTCCAGCTGGGACGACGGTTCGACCTGCAACAAAGCCGCCGCATTCTTTTGCATGACTCGGTCAATAAACTCAATGCCCCTTTGTGTGAGCTCCGTGTCGGCGTCCGGCTCCGGAAGCGCTTGTAGGAGGCCAAAAATCCACGGAACAAGCACCCCAAGGCTCTTGTTTGCCCCTTCTTTCGATGGATGCTTAGCTAGCGAGCTGGCGAACGAGTGCGCCGTGTTCACAATGGAGCCGATGTAAGGTGTCTGCGAGTTTTGATGCACAAACATCTCCGTCACCATCTCTGCGGGGAACACCAGGGGGCCAGGCTCCGTCTCAGAAAAGCCGGCCTTAAAGATGCTGCAGATAACGTCAATCACCTCGTTGCTCCGTGGAAATGCGGCCTGCACGGAGAGTATCATGGCCATGATGTGGGACTGTAGGGCCTGGAGCTGCGGGTTGTTTTCAGCGGCAGCCAGTGTCTTCTTCGCGGCGCTTGTTCCGTTGCCGTTGTCGTCGCTGTCCAGGTCCACGTGGTGTTCCGTGGCCGACTGCAAGCCGCGGGCCATACCAAAGAGGCAG